ACCTTGCATTTTCCTTGGGTATTGTGATCAAGAGAGTGCTTACCTTGATCCAACAAATTAACCGTAACTTTATTGGTAGACACGTTGTATTTGATGAGTCTGTCTTTCCCTTCACTAAGAAACTAATTCTAGTTACAAATCCATCGTGTGAGAGTGTGAGGCTGATGATTGGCTCCAACCACCCACTTCCTACCTTCCTATTTCAGGTACACCGATAACAGAGACTTCCGGGGTAACTCATATTATCCCATCTCAACAAGAAACTCCTGATATATCTGGTTATACCCCACTCCCTTATATCCTCATCACACCAGTACTACCAATACACCCACGCTCAATCCAGCGATCCTCATCACATATCACCGCTGACCTAAACAAAAACCACATGCAATGTCCCTTCCCCTCCCCAACCATCCCCTAATGAACCTACTACCACTTCCTTAACCACCACTTCCAATGCTCTCATATACTCCTCACACCAACATCATGATCCAAATACATCTCCACCTAACAAACGTACTCATCCAACGATCCTTCGACCTTGTAAACAAGTCAATAATGTCACCCAATCACCATTAGCTCATCATCTTATTCTTACATATGGTTCTAAGGTTTTACACGTACCCCCTATGTCTATAGAATTTGATGCCTTAGTTCAACAAGGAACTAGGGAACTTATCCCTGCTCATCCTGATCAGAATGTTGTTGTTTGCAAATGGGTATATACGGTGAAATACAATCCATATGGTTCCTTGGATCGTTTCAAAGCGCGATTGGTGGCTAAGGGTTTTCATCAGTGCCCGAGAGTTGATTATTCGGACACTTTTAGCCTGGTTAATAAACTGATCACTATTCGGGTTGTCTTAACCACTTCCCTTTCCCATGGTTGGGTGATCAATCAACTGAATATCAGTAATCATTTCTCCATGGGAATTTTTGGGAGGAAGTTTACATGAAACAACCTCATGGATTAAATGATGGTATTGGGAAAGTATGTTATGTTTGCAAATCCATCTATGGTCTAAACACAGGCACCTCGAGTGTGGTACCAATCCCTTAGTGGATTTCTTCTATCACTTGATTATATTACTCAACTTCCGATGTCAGTCTTTCCATATTCTCTTCTCATCCCGCCTATATATGTGCTAGTGTATGTGGATGATATAATTGACAATGGGTTTGCACATGTGTTGGTAGCACAAAAATCAGACTAATGAGTTACTAGCACAAAAATCTCTGTTGAGGATTTAGGATCCTTACATTACTTCTTAAGCATGCAGGTTACACCTACATTAGTTGTACTCTTCTTGATCAACACGACTACATTACAGATTTATTGTAGGTGCTGCAGATGAACTAGGCTAGCTAGTTCTACACCCACGCCCTTGTCGTCCTCTTCTTTGACTCTATTTGACAGTTCATGGTCTTGTGACGCGACTCTCTACTGACAAGTCATTGGATAACTTCAATACTTGAGTCTCATCCAACCAGACACTGCTTTTTCCATCAACAAACTAGCTCAGTTTATGCACAAACCCACGATCAATCATTGGCGGCTTGTGAAACGCCTCTTACGATATCTTCAAGGCACTACTTCTCATGGTTTCTACCTTCCTCACAGTTAACATATTTCTTTACAAACTTATGCCAACACGAACATGGCAAGGAATCCAGATGACCACTCCTCTATAAATGCTTATGCTATTTTTCTAGGTGATTCGTTTATTTCTTGGAAATCATCCAAACAACGGACCATCACCAAATCTTCCACCGAAACAGAGTATCGGGCTCTATATACTGCTTCATCTAAAATTCTATGGATTGAATCTCTTCTTCATGAGCTACGACATTCGTCTCATTCTCCTCCGATTCGCCTTTGTGATAACAATATTGCTATTACTTCTTCGGCGAATCATGTCTTACATTCTTGCAGGAAACATGTTGCAATTGATTCCAATTTGTTCAGGGACGTGTACAACGTGGGCTTCTTCATGTACTTCATGTCTCCTCTCATGATCAGGTGGCTAGCGTTCTCATCAAACCGCCTTCAAGGCAGTGCTTTACTCTTCTCAAGGACAAGCTCAGGATTCTTGGAAGTGATCGAATACCTGGTTGCGGGGGCGTGTATAAGAATCCAAATTCTAGGATTTCAGTTACAATTATTTATTGTATTCAATTACACATATTTGTAGTTAATATTGTATTTAGTAGCTTACCTTATACATTTTCTACATCTATGTATAAATACCACAACATACTTGTATATACTATGGAATAAGTATGGATTAAGCCTAAACATCATTTGTCTTCTAAATCTCTTTAGATGTTAATTACGTGTTCATCTATTTCTTATTACAAGTGCCTCTTTCTTGGAAAACTAATTCTTCCTTTCCCAAATTCTAGGATTTGTAACTATCATATCGAGAGTATTCACTTGGATGAAGAAGACTATTTGTTGAGTCGTAAGGTTACCCATTGTAGTTGTTGAGAGAAACGAGGCATTGTTATGTGCATAATAAACTCTATTGCATGTGTTCTACCCGATGCATCAGTGTAGAAACAGAAAGGATTATAAAATACTTCAACATAATAAACTACAATTACAAACATCAAAGAAATATTCTTTCTCACGGTGATTTACTTCTTTGAAATACATTATTGCCATTAGTAAAAATAATTTGGAGAAGAGCAATAAGGAATTATTTTTAAATAATAAAAAATAAAAGAAGAAGAAATTGTTTGCATGTAAAAGAGATTTGACCAAATAATCTAACAATCAAACTATCTAACCGGATGTTAGCAATTCGTTTTAATAAATTAGTTTTATTCTCCCATTCATTTTGCTTTTCATTTTTATATAAAGATCTAAGCTTGGCTAAGCACTAATAAAGTATAAATCTAGAAAATTTTAAAGGATACATTGTGGGTGTGTAAAAACCAACCAAAATGATTATATATTATTGTAATTGTGTTGAAATGTAAGTTCTCTAATACAGAATGACAAAAAATGTAACCATGAAATTAAATTGGCTAAATGTTATAAAATTCAAAAACATCCCAGCACTCAAGCCTCCCACATCGGATATGTATTATTGAAGGCCTGCAAAATAGTGCATGAGCATACATGTCCATAAACTTGAGTTTATCAAATTCCATGAACAACAGAACTACAACACTTTAGACAACCACAACATGTTGGGGAAACCAATTCTCACCCCAATATCGTGTACTTGAGTAAAGAAAGGAGAATGAAAATACAATAAAAAATGCAAAAATGGCTAACCCTTACTGGAAGAAGCCTGATGAGTAGCCAAAAAGAAAGTCTGCAGACCGAACAATCTATATCTATAAGGCCCGAGTGAATGATAGGTGAGAGCGCCTCTTGGAATTTCATAACTTGCACCAAACATGAGAACAATCAGTTTGCAGGGTGCACATGAAATTAAGTTACCTTCTTGAATATAAGAATCATGAGCATAAAAATAAAGGACAATAAATACTTACACAAGAGAAGATGAAGAGATGCCAAGAAGGAGGCAATCTGGGCTGGAGCAGGGTCTTTAGTTGCTAATAACCTGGTTAAGGCATAAATGGTTAATCTAACGGGTTGAAAGGGAGACGTTATACTAACGAGATGACAACCAGAAGTTTCATAACGAAGATCTATGAAGTTGAAGGATTCACAAACATTTAAGCACGAAGTACATGTGAATTAAGCTATATTATTACACACCAGTAAATTTTGTATACCTAAAATAAGCCTACTCTTATTCATGTTTATTATTTTGTAAAATTTGTGTTTTTGCATTTGATTTTTTCAATTACATTTGTTATTTATTTTGTTGCTCAAAATCATGAATCCATCTGGGTGTACAATGAGGCATAATGATCAAAATAGAAAATTAATTCCAATGATTAGGTATGAAATTAAAGTTGTTGGAGGAGACATTAGAAAATAAAACTTGATAAAGTTTGTAATTAACTATGAGGAATTATAAGATTTTGTTTCTAGTTTTTTAAACCAGAAATAAAATCATAATCAGTTTTTCAGAAGTTGGTCATTTGGTCTCTTACCTTCTCAAAAACTTATTGTAGGAGCAGTTTGGAGTACTTAAAAGTATATTTACATTTCATCTAAACACTTCAATATGTTTCTGTTCTCTAAAAAAGTAGAAACAATTTTAAAAAATAGATCCAAACACCTCCAAAATACGGAGTACTAAATTATGATATTACTTAATTTTCTATATGTGTGTGTCAGTGTGTGTGTGCGCATTTTGTGATACACACATATGGCCAATGACCAGTAGAAAATATAATGTTTTTGCATTACACGGGATATTGCTGATGTCATTATTCATTAACAATATGATGCTAGAATGGATTACATTTGGTAACAAATGTGTTGATACATTTAGCAAAATCGTAACATCATCCCGTCAAACTTGCAATGTCTTAATTGCATTAACGCTAAAAAGGATCGTGACATTTTGTTTGTATTTTTTTCAATATTATGAAGTAGTATTCATGACAAACTTATCTACTTTTCAAATGCTCTAAACACGAGGTGAGATATTCCATTTTTTAAATTATAAAATGAAGTGAAAATATAAACATTGTAAAATACGCGCAATCCACCATTTATAAAACTTTGTTGAGAAATTTTAACAAATTTATGAATTGATATAAAAAGAAGATTTCTTTAAAATATCACTAAAATTAAAGATATGATGAACAAAAATATGATTAAGCTATTATGTGTATAACCTTATAGAGTTATAGTTGTTGTGTATAAAATTTAAAATATTCATGACCACCAAAATTACTTATGTAATCATTTTATATAAAAAATCATATTATTACCCATCATCTCTATTTTATTAATAATATAAATGTCATCATATATATTGAAAAAATAGTGCAATAAAAAAGAACATATAAAATGGAAAAGAATGACTACCAAATGACTAGCAAATAAGTTTTGGTTTTTTCCTTTTTGACGATAACCTGAGTGTTTTTTCCTTTTGTTTACGAGTATTTTATTTTATTTGTGGAGACGGGAGATTCAAATTCAAATTCACTTTCAGAGGAGATCCGAGGAGGAAAGCGGTGGAGATTAGATACGTTGAGATAGGGGCATTCCCGTACTTGTACACTCTCATTGCCTTCGTCTTTATTGTTGCCCAACATAATAAACATCCCAATTCTATTTCTTTCTTCTTCCCCATCTCTAAATCCGTTTTTTTGTGGCCGTTGTGCTCTACACCACTGCAGGTCCGTGGATTCACCTCTCTGTTCTTTCCTTAACACCAAATCAAATCAATTAATTATATGAACTCTATAAACGGAACCTAATCCTTTTTCTTGTTCTTTTTTCATTCTTGAAATATGTTGGTGCTCCTTTATTACTTATGATGTTTATAATTATTAGTCAATTCCTCTTTTTTCTCACTGATCTACTGATTCTTGATTGCACAATGAGATTGCGCAATCGTGTGCTTTTGGGTATTTCTGGTAATGCGTAAAATCTAACCTTTCTTTAAAAAAAGGATCTTTTGATGCTTATTTTGGTTTATATCTGAAACGTGGATTTTGTTGGTGGGGTTTCGTTTTCGATTTCAATAGGATCTTGAAGAAGTTTAATAAAATTAGATCTATTTCTTAGCTCGTCAAACTGTAAGAAATTAGCTGAGCCATCATATGAAATTTGTGAAAAGTGGGTTGTTTTGGCAGGGATGAATCTTGGCCATCTTCCACCCCCATTAATAACACTATTGTGGTCTTTAACACCATGTGTAGCAGTGTAGTTGGGGGATTTCGAAAGGGAGGCCATAATATTTATTATTTTATTAACTCACTCCACATTAGTTGGTTGCAAGGGAAGTGATATCGATAATTAGTAAAGCCAATTTCACCTTATGGAAGGTTTGCCCCTTATACACTCTTGTGTTGACTCTTGTGCTTGAGACCCTTCCCCAGACCATCGCACTGAGGGATGCCTTCGTGCACAGTTCTTCACTTTGGTAAAACCAATGTCACCCCATCTCCTCGAAATCTCCAAATAAAAAAAGGCTTTAAATGCTATCTATGTTGGTGTTTGGTTTGCTTTTTCCTGTTTTAGGTTACATGATACGTAGTATTTGATATGTGTATGAGAATCCACCTTGCTTTGGGATGTTACTTCTTTTAGGGTTCTTTTAGGGTCTGTTTACTTAACTTAATGAGCTGAATAGAAATCGTATCTTAATCGTTCAGTTGTATAGAGGTGTTTACTTACTACTTAATTTCTAACGTGACTTATTTTTCGGTCAATTTATGACTTATTGGCTCACCATCCACACATGTTTGTGTTAAAGGATTGCCTTCTTTAACCTGACTTTTTGTTCAAATATTTCATTGCAAACACAACAGCAGTCTTGGCTACAAACCTGTGAAAATCACAGCAACTTGCGAGCTATCACAAAAGCAACAAAGAGAAATCTCAACCCCTGCCTTCTTCGTCTAGGTATTTCATCTAATTTATATTTTTGTTCTCTTTTCTCTCTCCTTATTCTCGATCTGGCTGTTGAATTTCTAAACAGTCCAGTATATTTCTGGTAAAATCAATATATTCCGATAGTTTGGTAAAATTTCTGAAATTCAACTTAATTTAGATCTGCCATATTCTTAAACCTGAAGTTATATGGTCAAATTTCTTTTATTGGAGTCTCATATGTGATATTTTGATTTCTTCTTGGGTTAGGATTTCTTTTTATTGTTGTTGGTATACACGGTGAGTTGTTTTTGTCTTCCGAGCACTGATTGTTGATTGATGATTCATTTTTTATTGTTCTTCCCAATAATGAGGCAGATTTTATTTGTAGTTAATGTAAGTAATTGCAGATTTGTTGTGGCCATAGTGTTATTATTAGATATATTACACACATATCATTTTATTCGTTTGCAACTCTTAGCCAAGCTCAGAACTGATATACGTCTTCTTGGGTTGGATGAGAGTATGACTTTGGAGAGGGCAAAGTGGAGGGCGCACATTCGTGTGTACGATTGATCTCCTTTCTATCTTTCCTCTTTTTTTTTTCGTTTATCTTCTTTTTCTTTTTTTTTTGTTATTATGTTATTTTTATCTTCTAGCTTTTTTATGTTGTTTTATCTTTTTATCTTTTATCTTTCTTATATTCTTATGTTATTGTTATCTTACACTATGTATTTATTTATCTTATCTTATTCGTTTTTCTTCTTGTCGATCTTCTCTTTTTGGCATCGATATCATGGATCGATTCATGTTAGCCGACCCCAAAATCTTTTGGGGATTAAGGCTTGGATGTTGTTGTTATTGTTGTTGTTGTTGTTGCTGCAACTCTTAGCCGGGCATGTGGTAGTTGCCGTGTTCATACTCTGTTAACTCATACGGAGTAGTCTATAATTACATAAACATATATGATTGATATACTATTTTGGTGAGTAGCAATTTTTACATCATTGACCATGATAGTTTTTAGTTGTTCTCTACTCTATTACATGCTGTGTACACCAGAAGTTTTTTTTTGTAGTTGTATTGAATGTGGGGAAGCCCAGCCACACAAAAAATCCTGTTCTCTCATAATTGATGCTAGTATTTTAGTAAACCTCAGGTCACCAGGTGTTATAAAATAATACGTAGTACTACATGTTGGATTTTTGGTAATATTTTACTGACTTATTTTATGGCGAATTATGTCATTTTGGGTTATTATTACATGAATATCATTATTAATTTAATTAGAATCAGTTTTTGTGTTTTTTCTTAGACCTGATTTTCTTGAACACAAAAGTATCAGTAAGGGAAATTGGCATTGCACTGAAGTTAACATTTGCTACTGTGAGGCGAGCACAGTTCTTTTTGAAAAGTTTGGCTATGGTAACTTTTCGGTTTAATTATCAAAACATTTCCATAAGTCCATTTACGGTATTTATTTGTTCGGCTAAAAAATCGTTGTTGCATTAATTTCTTCACTTAGGCAACCAACGAAAATCTCCCACCGAATGTGATCAAACAGTTGGCTAGGGAATTGAAGAATCTTGATGAAACCCCCCCTGAAGGCATTAAAGTTGTTGTAAATGATGATGACTTTTCTACTATATATGCTGATATTGAAGGACCAGGTAGGTATCCTTTATCTGCTGTTAATAATGCAGAGTATCGTTGTTTTTTGGAAACAGAAAATTTAATTTTATTAATTCCTCCATCTGAATTTTCTTGCATCTTTCAGCTGGAACTCCGTACGAGAATGGTATCTTCCGCATGAGGTTGATACTATCTAATGATTTCCCACATTCACCTCCTAAAGGTTGTATTCGAATTCATTAGGACTTAAAGTCATCGTTAATACAATCATTTTTCTTGCTCTTTTAATGTCCGTTTGGAAGTCGGAAAATGCTCGGGAAAGTAAACATGGGGGACTTTTGGAAGAAAGAAACTGTTGAGGAAAATAAAACATTGGCTCAAACTCGGCGAACTTATTTTTATTATTTGTTGAAATTCTTTTATTTATTACTTCTACTATATAAGCACCAAGGGAAGTTAACATTTGTAAAAAGTAAAAAAAAAACAGTAATCATTTTTCATTTTTCTATGCATTGGTAAAACCAAACTTAAGAAAATAGCTTTCCTCTACCGTGCCCCCTTTCCCTAGCATTTTTGGGACCATACATATCCTAAATGTTTAAATTAGTTTTGGAAAGTTGTGTTATTTGGTAACCTTTCATAACTTCGTACCATTTAACAAATTTTATTTTTGCCTTTCATACTTGAAGGATATTTCCTGACCAAAATTTTCCATCCCAATATTGCCGCGAACGGTGAGATTTGTGTAAATGCTCTGAAAAGGGATTGGAATCCAAATCTTGGCTTAAGGCATGTGCTCATGGTAAGTTATCTACTTCTTTAATCAAAGTCCATTTTTTATATTTTATTGTCTTCAAGAATCTTATGTCAGTGTTTTCACAGGTGGTCAGATGTTTACTGATAGAACCATTTCCAGAATCAGCATTAAATGAACAGGCTGGGAAGATGCTTCTTGATAACTATGAGGAATACGCTAAACATGCAAGGTTTGTTCATTAATATCTTACCCATATTTCATTTCTATCCATTTTTTGGGGCATGTTTGTTTCAGGTATATCAGAGGGAAAGAGAATACAGGATTAGTTGGTTTTAGACTTCAAATTACTATATGATTATTAATTGGATCTTGGAATTCTAAAAATAAATAAATATCTCCCCTGCCCTTCCTTCCCCTCCTAAACGTCAGACCAAATATTTCCTTTTTCGATCCATCAAAGATGGAAAATTAAGTAAATAAATTGTGGGGTAATCTCGATAGCAAGTCTTTTCGGACCAAATATTTCCTTTTTCGGACCAAATTTAGCTGAAACATTTGTTTAAGATAGATGTTTATATCGGTTATACGAGTAGTTAATCTCGATATATGTAAAAAATATATACTCCCTCGGTCCCATAAAACTTGACCAAATTGACTTTTCTTGGTCAATGATAGCAAGTTTGACCAATATTATCTTTTAATATGAAATCATTTCAAATATGAAAATTACACAGAAATATTCTTTGTTCAAAATACTTCTATAGAAGTCTTCAAGTTATAAGTTTCACACAAATAAAGTAACTAAAATCATTGTCTAAAATTTATTATAATTGACCATGAAAAGTCAAGTTTTATGGGATGGAGGGAGTATCAAACAATATCCATATTTCATTTTCCTTTGCAGCAACAATTCTTATGGTAAAACACTAAAACCAACACAACGTAACTTTTCTTAGGCTTCTTAGCACATTTTCACTCTTCCGTACTCCATAGCAATGTATGCAAACATACCCTGATACATAGGGTAAAGAGTTGCGTTTCTTGATTTTTTTTTCAGGCTATATACCGGGGTTCATGCTATGAAACCAAAGCAGAAACAAAAAGGTGGGGCCATCTCTGAATCAACTACTGCACTGAATGTTGAACATAAGACAAATTCTGCATCGGTCATTGTTGATAAGAAGAGTTCGGGTATGGGTGTTCCTCTCCAACAACCATCTTCGCTCGCCCCTTTGTCGAAAGGAGGGAACAGCCTGGACTCACCAGCAATGCCGGTAGCTGTTGCCCAGAAGAAGGAAGGTGCTGGGTTGGGAAAGGTCCATCAGGTTGAGAAGAAGAAGATGGATGCTAGGAAAAAGAGTTTGAAGAGATTATAGAATTGCTTGCCGTGTTTCCAAATGGCAGCCTGTTGTCAGTCTTTCTGTTTTACAGTTAGGGGGAAAACTAGTTCCAATAACAGTTTGGTTTCCTCGCTATGCATTGAACTCGTAACAAATATTTGTACCATTATTCTCCACTTTAAATGACTTCAATTTATTTAATTTAACTATCTCTCGACTTGATCATTTAGAGTTTTTCACATTTATTCGACTACTCAAGATTGAATTATGTTCTCAAGAAGCAGGGTAGTTTAATAACATGGCCCGTTGGTGAATTCTTAATTCTTGTTATGGGTGGAGCTAGGGATGGACTCAGGCCGGGTGGCCCGACCCGGAACCGGCCCGGGACCGGTACTGTTCCGGCCCGGCCCAACCCGGTGGCCCGGTCAGTGACCGGTCCGGGTAGGCCCGGCCCGTGGGTTTTCCGGTCCGGGCTCGGGTCACCCAAAACAAGGCCCAACCCGGCCGGGCCCGGTTCAGGCCAAAAACTATTTTTTTTTTCAATTTTTTTTAAATTTTCGGGTTGGGCTGGGTATTTTGGGCCATTTGGGGTGGTTTGGGGCCTAGGGGGGTTGGGGGTGGGAGGGGGGTTAATTAGGAAGAGGAAAACAAAAAAAAAATTATAATGGGCCCGGCCCGGACCCGGACCGGACGCGGTGGTTACCCGGTCCAGTCCCGGGTCCACCATTTCTGACCCGCAGGCCCGCCCGGGCCTAGGCCCGACCCGGACCCGGCCCGGACCCGAGTCCATCCCTAGGTGGAGCCGGGTCAAGTATGATTAGAACTGTGATCGGTTAGACCAGCTCCGAGCCAAGTTCTAATCTGATTTTGGATCTGGACAGCAGGTGCCTACTGCCTAGTTTACTTTGAGGAACCGGTTAAAACCAGCTCTTGCACTCTGTCCCGGAACCAAAAAACAGTTGCCTCGCCTCGAATTAGTCCAATGTGGTTTAAAAACGGATTCCTCCATACCTGATTCTAGTTCTGCCAGACACGACTTTATCAGAAATTGAATGGAACACAAGAATAACTGCTCATGGCTTATAACTCCAGTCTGTTATCAAATACTCCGAATCACTTAAGCAAAAAATCAAATGAAAAAGGTTGAAGTTGGAAGCAACAGAAAACAGAGTATTAGTTACCAAGTTGATTTCAAGAGGGATATTCACGCCAATCGAGTGGAGCAGGAGAGGCCATAGTGGTGATGGTCTGACCCATCACCATATAACAGTGTGTTTACTTTTTCTATCAAAACCGGTCATAATATGCAAGCATATTGTTCACGTGTTTAGCGAACTACAACAACGAACAATCTACAAAATAAATCACCAAAAAAGTGGAGTTGTTTTGAAGATTGAATGAACAAAAAATATCACCTTCATTTCGTGCGTTGTAAGATTTTCAATGTTCCACTGCAGAAAAGGAACCATCTGCCGAATACAGCAGTTGAATGCAGCATGCATTATCATGCCACTTCAATTAAAGAAAAAGGACTTCAAACCTTTAAATTTTTTGAATCTTGCAATAGGAAAGTATATAATGCATAACAAACCAAGAGATACAATGGAAAAATTCCACTACCCTTGCATTAGAGAAAATTACAACCATTCAACATCAAACCTGACACCATCCAACAAAAAAGGAACATAAGACTTAAGAATCCATAACACTAGCTAAACACATCCAAATTCAATACCTTGTTGGCTTGTTTTATAAAAAATAATTCTAGTTATGTAAAACCACAAGACAACATATTAAAGATTATAACTTGTGGTCGTGGTGGGTGGGATCACTTGGCCATCATAACCTTAACGAACTCCTCATAGTTGATCTGACCATCGCCATCAACATCGGCCTCTCTTATCATCTCATCAACTTCTTCGTCAGTTAGCTTCTCACCAAGGTTTGTCATCACATGACGAAGCTCCGCAGCAGAGATGAAACCGTTCTGGTCCTTATCGAACACTCTAAAAGCCTCTTTCAGCTCCTCTTCAGAGTCAGTGTCCTTCATTTTCCTGGCCATCAGATTTAGAAACTCTGGGAAATCAATGGTCCCATTGCCATCAGCATCTACCTCATTTATCATGTCCTGTAGCTCAGCTTCTGTTGGATTCTGCCCTAATGATCTCATCACTGTCCCAAGCTCTTTGGTAGTGATGCAACCTGTAGATTACAGTGTCAATTAACAAGAATCGAGATATATTTTCAGTATTAAAATTATGCTACTATAAGGGTTATTTCCTGACGTGAAATGATCTTCTAAATTGTCTGAGAAAATACTCTTTGGAAAATCAATTTCAGCTGAATAATAACAAGTGAAAAGCTACACCATCCACTTATTCTGACTATTCTGCTTGTAAGCAGAATAATCCTGACAAGGCTACCAAACAGGGTAATAGAAGCAAATAACAATCAACCAAATACCAAATGTGAAGATAAACTAACATAAGTAATAAACTTGCAGTCAACAAATCATACCAAACTATCATCAAGCCAGAACATATCATTCAATTTTCAACTCTTTGCAGAGGTGTTTTCTTCCCTCTTTTAGCAGAATTTTTGAAGTCAATGAGCAATTCCTCGAGATATGCAACATGTCAGGGTATAGCAGGTGAGACTTCTGTAAAAAGAGTATGCACGATTGTTTGTTCACAAAAATGAATACCCACATTATCCACCAAACAACTACGGAGTATAAGCTAGAACTAACAACATTTTGTCCTATTAGGAACCCATTTTTCTTCGAGGAGATGGATCAACAAAAGCGGACATTTTCTTCCTTCATAAGGTCGAGTTAAGAATTGCGTTTCCCAGAACATCTCAGAAGTGAACACATATGACTATTGAAGATAATCTTGTTATTGGTTAGAGACTATCAGATTCAAGAGTCAAATAATAAATCCACAAAGACCGCAAAAATCAGGGTCATCCATACATGAATGACGAATCGCCTCGGCCGTAAACTCATTCTTAACAATTTGTTTACAAACTAAATGGAAAAAACAGATCTGTGCGTGCGTATGTGATCATTTAAAGAAACAAATGGAAACGGTTACGAATGCAAAGCAGCAAAAGAAATGAAACGCGTAAAGGAGAGAGTCAAACCATCGCCATCTTTGTCGAACAGGCTGAAGGCTTCCTTAAACTCCGCGATCTGATCGTCGGTCAACTGATCCGCCATGTCTGAGTTTTGTCGTCGTCGTCGATAGGGTGTGGGAGGAAGAAGGTCAAGAATGAGAAAGAGGCTATTTATTTATTCGAAATAATCATCACCAATCATCAAAACCGTTCCTTTCCTTTGCTTTGAATCCGGACATCATCCCTCAGCCTCCGAGTCTCTATCTTCCGTCTTTCCCGCTTTACCCCTCTCGCATTTCTCTCTCTTTTTTTTTCTCTTCCTCATTTTATCATTTTATATCTCGGTTTACTTGAGTGTGTTTGTTTACTTGAGCGTGTGTAAAATCTTTTTTTTTGAAAGAAAGTGATTTATACTCATATGAGATGAGATAACAAAACTTAAGCAAGATATAAAATGACAAAAAGTCTTTTGTTTACCGTCTGCTCTTGAACCAAACTTAGAATCTATCACGCATGTATAAGTAATAAGTTTCGATGATCCAGTAATAGACTTAACTAAGCCAACCAATGATAGGCAAATCAGACTTCCTATCACTTGTCTTAAATTCTAGAGTTTTTCTGCTAGAGAATAAAAATACAACCAAAACAACATGCACTTCGAAATAAAAACATGAACAAAATAAAACGGGATTAAAACAAAGTTCACTCATCTTCTTCCAAACCCTAGACTCTCCTACATTCCATGGCGGCGGTTCATGAGGGGGACGTATCAGCAGTACAATAGCTTCTTCTTCAGCCTACCTCTTATTCGTCGTGTTCTCTGTCAAGCCATCACTTTCGCCACCAATCACAAATGACCTCGAATCCAAATCTGTTCCTGACTGTAGCCCCCAAGCTTCGCCCATGACCTTCTGATCTTAGCCATGAACGTCTTCCTCGAAACTCTCCACCTACTGTCAGGAGTGCATGACCTTCGGCCGCCGATGACCAAGCACCCGTCTTCCGCCCATGACCAACATTAAACAAGATGTTTGTGGTATTCATGGTTATGGATATCTTGTTCTCTTTCAACCAAACAAAAATCTAGAACCAAAAATCAACGTCGCACCAACCCTTTGCTATGGCCAACGACGGCGGAAAAGAAAAAAAACTACTTGAAGGGAGACACCGCTCTTGAAATAATTTTAATCAAGCGACATTATGGAGTAGTGTTTGTGAACTTTTAGAAAATTATGTTCTTCTTTTTGTTAAAGAAAGATGGGCTTACAAAGGTTTTGAGAGCTGGCGATTTTGAATGACCTCCGATCCTGCATCCTCGGCGGCGCAGCCGCCGCCTCCACCAGGCAATGTGTGGACTGGCAGAAGCTTTGCGTACATAGTGGCCGGCCGATCCAATGGGTCTCTATCGGCTAAATCCCCCTCTCGGCATAAAGGAATGCCGGCCATCAGCTTTCCAGATGCTGACATCCAGATTCTGGCGGATCGTCACAAAAAATCATTGATCAGTTACTTCTATAAGGGAAGACCTAGTCTAGCCATAATCCGGAAGGCATTTGAGATTATTGGATTTAAGGGCATATTTCATTTGGGTGTGCTAGAGCGTAAGCATATTCTTATTCGTTTTGATTCTGATGAGGACTATTTTAGATGTTGGAATCGACAAAGTTGGATTATTCATGGATGTGAAATGCGTGTGACTAAATGGACTCCTGAATTCCGTCCTAACGTGGAATCCCCTGTGGTTCCGGTGTGGATAGCTTTTGAGGGATTACCGTTGCACCTTCATGACAAAAGGGCCTTGTTTGATATTGCGGGATTAATCGGTAAACTCCTAAAGATTGATGCGGCTACTGCCAATTTATCCAGGCCATCAGTGGCCAGAATATGTGTTGAACTGGATCTTACTAAGGAGATGCCTCAACGGGTGTGGATAAATTGTGGTTCTTTTGGATTTTCACAGCCGGTGATATATGAACAAAGGCCAGAGTATTGTTCTCATTGCTTGCATTTAGGTCACTCCTATGCTAAGTGTCCTAAAAGGAACCCGGATGTCCACAAGGCAATTACTCTGCCTAATGACAAATGGGTTGTCAAATCTAAGAAGAACGATCATAAGCAAGTTAGATTTACAGAGGCTGAAAAAGGGAAAGG